GGCTGTCCAGAAGCCGGCGACTGATCTGCCTCGCCTGGGAAGAACGCAATGATGGTGCCAATTTGGGCCAGTGAAGCAACGTCCTCCACAACTAGACTGAAGACCAAAACGACAGCAACTTGTCTGTTCCCCTTCCCCCAATTCCCCAGCACTGTTCCCATCACCCAATTCCCCAATGAAAATTAAAAATAAATAAATAAATAAATTTAACACAGGAGGTAAAAGATCTCCACTCTAAAAACTTTAAGATATTGATGAAAGAAATCAAAGAACATACAAATGAATGTAAGGTATCCAGTGTTCGTGGATTGGAAGAATTAATATTGTTAAAATGTGAATACTACCAAAAGCCATCTATAGATTCAATGCAATCCCTATCAAGATTCCAAGAGCATCTTTTATGGAATTAGAAGAAAAAAAAAAACTCCTGAAATTTATATGGAACCACAGAAGACCCCAAACAGCTAGAGAAAATTTGAGAAAGAAGAACAAAGCAAGAGGCATCACACTTTCAGATTTCAAGCTATACAATAAAGCTGTAGTCATCAAAACAGTATGGTTTTGGCATAAAAACAATCAAATAGACTAATGAAATAGAATCAAGAGCCACAAAATAAACCCAAGAATAAATAGTCCATTAATATTTGACAGGGGAGCCAAGAATATTCAATGGAGAAAAGATAGTCTTTTCAATAAATGGTGCTGGAATAATTGGGTATTCACAGGTAAAAGAATGAAACTGAACCCATAGTTTACACCACTCACAAAAATTAACTCAAAATGGATTAAAGACTTAAATGTATGACTGAAACCATGAAATTCCTAGAAGAAAACAGGAATAAAGCTTCTTAAAGTGGGTCTTAGTAATGACTTTTTTGGATATGACACCTAAAGCACAAGCAACATAAAAAATAAACAAGTGTAATTGCATCAAACTAAAAAGTTTCTGCCCAAAAAAATCATCAACAAAGTGAAAAGACAACCTATAGAATAGGAAAAAAATATTTGTAAACCATATATTTGATAAGGGGTAATATCCAAAATATATAAAGATCTCATACAACTCAATAACAAAAAAACAAATAGCCCAGTTAAAAAATGGGCAAAGGGCCTTAAGAGACATTTCTCCAAGAGGATACATAAAATGCCAACAGGTACATGAAAAGATGCTCAACATCTCCAGTCTTTAGAGAAATGAAAATTAAAACCACACTAAGATAAAATTGCAGTGAACATCGGAGCACATATATCTTTACAGATAAATGTTTTCAGATTTTTTTGGGTAGATACCCAAGAGAGGGATTGCTGGGTCATACGGTAATTCTATTCTTAATTTTTTGAGGAACCGCCACACTGCCTTCCATAGCAGCTGCACCAATCTGCAGTGTATGAAGGTTCCTTATTCTCCACAGCCTCTCCAACGCTTGGTATTATTTGTCTTGTTGATGATAGCCATTCTAACCGGTGTGAGGTGATATCTCATTGTGGTTTTTATTTGCATTTCTCTAGTGTTTAGTGATGTTGAGCATCTTATTCCTG